GCTGGACTGGACTGAGCTGAGCTGGACTGGACTGAGCTGGACTGGACTGAGCTGAGCTGGACTGGACTGAATTGGACTGGACTGAGCTGAACACGCCTCTCAGGTCAGCATGTTTTCTTGTCTTTCCTTTTTTAGATTTAAACTCCAGGAAGTTCTGGCTCTAATTCCACATTACAGAACAAAAGTGTGAATAATTATTAGTGATGAAATACGTAAAGAGTTGGATGTTTAAGGCCGTCAGTGTCGGATTATTCTGATGGAATAAAAGGTTCATTTGTTTTAGGGATTTGTTCAGGCTTTAAAATGCTACCAATAAGGCTGGAGGCATTGTGAGCAGAATATTGGTAAACTGGGCCATATCATTTAATAAATAGCCCTGAATGCTCCTTCATGTTTTCCTCTGTAAATCATTTAAGACTTTATTCTCAAATCTTTCTGTCTGACCGCAATCTCTCATCCTCGTCCAGAATTCATCAGGGTTTCTTTAATGTTCTTCTGTTTTCTAGTTTCTTTAATTGCCTCCACTTGCTTCGGTTCTGGTGCCGCTGCAGCAGATGGCTTTACAATCTGGCCCCAGATTATTACAATGGAGACGTGGATAATCTCATCACATTGTGGACGCCAAGCGGGGCTGCAGGCCGGCCTCGGCTGCGTTGGGTCAGATCCTCGCTGACGTCCTGCTCCAGGACCAAACTGCAGGTCCGACTCACAGAAAACCATCTCGTCTCTCGTCAGCACAGAAAAACTCCCTTAACATTTGGTTTTCTCAGCCTGCGTCTTTATTTCACCGGCTGCAGCTAATTTCAGGACGAGATGTAAAGTTTAGACGATGAACCAGTTTCAGGAATGAGAAGAGACAAAAAAGAAAAGCAACATTTATTTTATCTGCAAGAAAACAAATACAACCAAATACACGAGTCAAGAAATGCAAAAAGACAACAACGTTTTATACAGGGAAATAAAATAACTTTGTTTCTCCTGACAACGTATTTTGATGAATCATAACGATGAGTAATCATAAAATATTCAGACTGAATTTAATCATTTATTATTTCTATTCCTTGTGCTTCTGATTCGGACCAAATGTTTCTGTAATTATGAAGCAAAATGTTTCTGAGTGACTTCCTGACTGCAGATATTATGTACTGGCGTCACCCTGTTCCTTATTAAAGCAGACTGTGGCCATATTCTATAAGCAGTTATGAAATGAAACCTCCTTTCAGACCAAAACTACCAAAACACAAACAGCAGCCATTTAAGGGCAAAGGAAGCAGGCGGCTTGAAGTAACAGAATAAATTGATTCTTTCTGCAGTTTCTGATTAGCAGACAACTCCATGATGATTATTGATTTTCAAAATAAAACAGGAAATTAAGAAAATAAAATACATAAACATTCAAGATAATGGGAACAAATTCAAACTAGAAAAATAAGTAATAAAAAAGGAAATCAAGTTTAAATTTAAAACATAAGACAATAAATATATATCTGGATTAGTTTGTCTCGGACTGCGGTGTGAATGTGTCTCCCAGTGAAGGTGTCATAACGCTGTGACGTGTTTATCCTCTTTAGGACAGCTGTCTGGATTTAGATAGTGATGACCATAATCTCATTTGGCAGCCAAGCAGAGAAACTCTGAGCTCTGCACACGTTCAGCCCTCAAACGCAGGAAAGGAGGAAGATCTGAGGCAGGATGGGGAACACCAAGAGCAGCGCCTTGTCCAAGGAGCTCCTGGAGGAACTCAAGTCCAACACCAAGTACTCCGAGGCGGAGCTGTGCACCTGGTACCAGTCCTTCCTGAAGGAGTGTCCCAGCGGGAAGATCACCAAGGAGCAGTTCGAAGGAATCTACGCCAGCTTCTTCCCGGGCGCCGACCCCACAGCGTACGCACGCCACGTTTTCAGGAGCTTCGACACCAACGCAGACGGCACCCTGGACTTTAAGGAGTACATCGTCGCTCTGCACCTCACCTCTGGAGGAAAGACTCTGCAGAAGCTGGAGTGGGCCTTCGCCTTGTACGACGTGGACGGCAATGGAACCATCAGCAAGAACGAGATCCAAGAGATCGTTAGGGTACTATTGTCTCAGTTCAACCATTAACTATTCGCTGGCTAAAGCTGTGGGTCAACTTGTATCTGAGAGGCTGGAAATAGCAACTATCTCCTGATCTTTTTAAGGTCAAAGTTCAGATTAAGTTAATTGCAAACGTCCTGTGGTTTTCTCCTGCAGTCGATATTCAACATGATCCCAGCCGACGACCAGACGAAACTCCCTGAAGACGAAAACACTCCAGAGAAGAGAGCTGAAAAAATCTGGGCATTTTTCGGAAAGAAGGAAAACGGTACACTTCATTAAATCATTTCACTCTGCAGCAGCTTTTAGCGTTAAAAACTCATCTGAGACAGACATGTTGTTGTTTCCTTTGCAGATAAAATCACGGAGGGCGAATTCATCCAGGGAGTGATGGACAACAAGGACATCCTGCGCTTGATACAATACGACGAACCTCAGAGAATCAAAGACAAGCTGAAAGAAAAGAAGCAATAATTCAGGAGCTAGCGTCATGATTTAAGACTGTTGATCATCTATTTTTGTTTACCTTTTTAATTTGCCTGTTTATGTCTTTTCTTCTGTGAACTCTGTTCTGGTTACCAGCTAAAACAATGAATCACCTGGTGATAGTAACCAAGCCTGCAGCTTCAGATTAGCTAACGGGTAATTAATACGGGGCAGCCTTTAAATCTTGTTAGAGCTTTTATATGAAAACTTGTACAAATTTTGTAGTTTATGATGTTATTAAAAGTGACTACCTTTGTGTATTGGATATCTCACCCAGTTTAGCTTGTCTGCCTGCCATAATGCCTCCAGCTAATTACCGTTAGCGATCAGAGAGCTGCATGTTTTTTTCACACTTTGGTTCATTCATTAGCCTAATTGTGAAAAAGTCAGAACTAGAGCTTCTTATGTGGGGAATTAGGCTCAGGTTAACAGTCCGCCTGCATCAACCAATCCTATTAAAAGCTGAAGGTCAGTTGAGACACTCACGTATTAGCATGTGTGCTAAGAGTCCAGGCAGGATAATAGGGGCTTAACACGGGGGACAATACTTTGCTTGAATATGTATAATTTATACCTATTTCTAACAGCACAATTCATTTCTGTCTGAGAAATTAATTTATTTATTTGTAATTTATCTAATAGAAAGAAGTTAGAAAAAATATTAGCAGAAATCTGTTTACAGCAATAATTAATGTTCTAAAAACGTTTGCCTTTGAGTGTCATAAATAAATTTTCAGCCATTTGGATCTGTGGAGAATGTTGCAGTTTTTGCTTGGATTTGAATTTGAACAGAAACAACTTTTTCAGGCTCCGCCCCCTCCCACTCTGCTGAGCTGTAGTTACCATGGCAACTATAAACTTGTTACTTTTTAAGCAGCGAGGTTCTGATTGGTTGTTCATTTACTGTTGAATCAAGCAAAGAAAATTTTGAGAGTTTATTTTTTGGAAATAAAAGCCATATACAACTCATAAAATTGCGCCATACTTGGATGGTGTTGAATTTATTTCCGTCAAAGGCAATAAAACGCAGGTTAGGGATCACAGCCAAGGGTTATTAGCTCCAAACTGGAAATACTTGTGACAGACTCTAAAACACTTAGGACTGCCGAGTTTAAAAGCTCAAATATATCCTGATATGCATTAGTAAGTGGAAACACAAAAAGAGAGTAATATCTACAGCTTTCCTTAAAGTGTTTAGCTTTCTGAAAATATTCCAGCAAAGTGGGCGGAGTCGATTGGGCCTTTGCGCATGACGTCACGCTCTCTGGCACTCCGCGATGACAGACGTTGAAACAACTCCCGTAAAGCTAGTCTAAAAGCAGACATCTTTGGCCCAACACCACTTTTATTTAGTTGATTTCAGTTTTAAAATGGTCACAGGATGCTGCGCGGTCAACAAACAAACAAACTTGTCATTTTATTTTATAACCTTAAATGAAAAAGAATATGGTAGCGATGGATGGCAGTTGTCAGTCATAATGACCGTTAGCCCTCGGTGTAACCGCGGATTCGCAGCGAATATTTTTTAAAAGGTAAGAAGACAAACGTCCATGCACTTTATAAGTATGATTAAAATATCAAATATAAGGAGAAGGTACATCTAACCATTAGTGGACATGGAGACAGTGCCGCCCCGCCATGTGTGGTTTGAATTCAGGCAAAGTCTGTAATTTGATCAAGACGTCAGGAGGGAGGGCTAGCTGTTATCCACTTCTGAAACTCCCGCCATCTATGAGCCCCAACCAGGTGAGTTACACTCACAGACAAATAGACTCGAACAAGCAGGAGCCATGAATAAACTGGAAAAAACAACTGGGAAACCAATTTCAGTCGCTGGGTTCGATATTCCCGTCCGTAATGGCGCCTAGGATGATTAAGTGACGTAGTCGCAAAGTGACAATGAGGGGCGTGGTCAGGTGTAGGGGCGTGGCCAGGTGTGGGGGCGTGGCCAGGTGTGGGGACGAACCGGGCTGGGTTCAGGACGAAAGAAGAAGCCGTTTATGCTAACTTATAAACTTTGTTACAATATTTATCAAAAAAAAAAAACAACTAGTGACAAACCTATTGAACTACATTTCAAAAATAATTTCTCTTTTCCATTGGTTAATTTTAAGTTATTTTTGTCTTTCAGGTTATTTCCAACAGTTTTCTCCATGTTTGTATCCAGATATTTCTAATACAGCATCTAATGTCAATAACACAGGACACAATAAAGTTATGGTTGGCTACAAACTGCACCTGCTGTCCTTGCAAACAGCATATAATTTCATTTTTAAATTCATCTTCCCACTGATGGAACATTTCTACAATCCCGACTTCCCTGTAGCGTTATGTAATGACACTGCACCGTTTAATTTTCAGAGGAGATTTATTTTGTACACTGCATTCCTCGGTTCACGATCGGGACAGAGGTCACGAATGATCAAAACATTCTGAAACACTGGATTTAATGTAAACAGTCACCACACAGGCCAGTTAGGTCAACCGTTACGTCATCATCAGACTCCTATCAGGAGCATTTAGTTGGAACGTAACAACATTTAGTGCACAACACTGACGCACGACGATGAAACCTCTACAACAAATACACTACCAAAGCCTGCACGTGTAGCCAGGTGGGATGAAAACAGGATCGTTTTCCTCTTCTTCACAAAACTAAGAATGTATATTTAAAACATTAGTTTACATTTATCTTTCATCAAAATATTTTTTGTGCCTTGCAGTTGAATTAAATGAGCAAATAAACCAAAGACATAGACCAGAGGAAATGTGAAGACGACAGAGAAATGCACACGTAAACCGACTCTACATGCAGACGGGGATCTGATGGGCTTCGTCTGACTTGGTGCTGCAACTGGATCCACCCAATCTAGAAATGCATAATCGAATCGTCTGTTGATCAGCACACAAATTGATCAATTTAGCTTTTTGCTGCTCAACACCACCGTAAAAATATTCCCTGCACATTTACCAAAAATAAACAACGTTGTAGAGTGTAAACACCTCGCCTGCCTGAACATCTGCAGATCTGTCAAAACGTTTCACAGCAAAATACATCTAACCAGTATCTACAAATGTACACTGATGCAGAGAATATATCAAGGACATTCCAGGTATAGAAACTGAGAGGCACTAAAAGGTGTTTCGTGTAACTTGGACCACCTTTTCCTGCAGACTGGATCCCAATCGGACCCGGGCCTGAATGTGATGTTGGGAGCTGAATTTCCGTTCCAAGCGCTGGACGCTCTGAACATGTGAGGATGCTGGATATTAATGCTGAACGTTTCTGTTGTAGAAAGAGCCTAAATTAAAAACACAGATCACCTTGTGCAAATTCAGTGAGCTACACAAAACCACCATCATGAGGCATGGAGGGTCAAACATGCATTTCCACCGAAATGAACCAGGAAGAAATATGAAAATATATTCATCATCAAACCTCTTTCAGTTTCAGAATCTGTATCTAAAATAAAGTTAACGTCCACAATAAGACTGCAGCTTTCTTTCTTTTTGTTTGGTTAGCACAAAATGGAAACAAGTTGATCGAAGCTAAATTTAAGATTTTAAAGAACATAGATTTTTTTCATATATATATAATTTACAACAGGTAAACAGCAGAGTACGCTATATGGCATTCAGTAAGCTAATGCTTTAGTGACGGGTGAAGTTTAGGAGGAACATGCTGGTTCTTTGATCCGTTTGTTTTCCAGGACTGCGTTCGATCTTCCCTCGTTGTGATTAAAGTCAGAGCTCAGCAGGCTGCACATGCACCGTCCGCCGACCGGGCCGCTCTCAGGCTATCGGACCCGGTGACACTGAGAGCAGGTCGGAGGGTATCCGGGCCTAAATGTCCAGATCCACAGGCCGAACCTCGCCAGTTTTGTTCTCTTTCACCCACAGCTCCCTGTCTTTGGCTGGATCCATGCTCTGCAGCAGCTGGTCCACCGGCTCCACCGTCTGGAAACAAAACAGCCGTCATGCAGCTTCCTTACAGCTAAAAAAGATATTATTCTTTTTTCCACTCCGTATTCAGTCTATAATGTTCATAAGTCTACTTTTTGAATTTAATCTCAGTAGAGATCCACTGAGATCATCTAACCAAAACAAAAAGTAGTTTTTAAAAATGATTTCATGATTTAGGGAAAAATATCCAAAGAAATTATGTGAGAAAGTCACTTAAGTAGAACCTGACTGACAACATGAAGTAGGCTTGATATTTTTAAATCAATGAAATCATTTGATTCTGAATAAATCTTGACCCTATAAATTCAGACGTTTTTCTTGTTTTGGATGTAAAAAAAATAATAAAATCATCTTCCTGATTGATTTCTCACAGATGATATTGATTTATATTTTAACATTAATTCAGTTTAATGTCGCATAAACAGGCTGCAGCTGTTTCTGCGACATTAAACAAAGACTGAGTTTCCAAAGAGGTTCATCTGAGGGTTCATGACTGTAGAAAATGGAGAAAGGACGCACGCTCTGGTTGAACATGTCTGTTTCGTGCCGCAGGGTGGTGTACTGACGCAGGTGCTGCTGAACCCATTCGACCCGCTCCACCTCCAGCTTCTCCAGCTCCTGCAGAGGAACCAGCGAGAAGAAACGGCTAAACATCACAAAATGATCCGAGTCCCACAGGCAGACGGAGCAAGTCATGACATCTTTCCTCTGAGTAACCATGGAAACGAGGTTTGACTCACATTAATGAGTGAAAATTAGATGTTTGTAATGAAAACATGAGCCGTTTTGAACCAGGAAGTGACACGTTACCATGCTGGTTGTGACCATTTCCTCAAACCACTTGGACTGAGTCTGATTGTAGAGATCCAGACAGCGCATCAGATCATCTCCTGTCAACGATTAGACAACGAATAAAAGCTCAGATTTAATAACTACTTAAGTTATTTATGTCTACAAACTAACGGTTTCTGTAATGCCTGTAATAACCACCAGAGGGCACCAAGAAACCACTTCTCACAACGTCTGCAGCCGAGTCAGTTAAATTTAACATAAAGCAAATACATCAGGACAACTTTATACCATTTTTATTGAAAGATTGAATTAAAACATCTGAGCAACTCAGTAAAACATCAAACATGTGATCATTTCTTTATCCTCCATTAAATCTGTTGAAAAAACACAGCTAAAGGAGTCGTTTTTGTTTTTCTAAATAAAAATGGATCATTTTTTTCCATTTTGATTTGATATTACAACAACAGATTGATTCAGAAATTGACAAACGACCTTTGACCTCTGACCTGCCTGTGTGGATTTCCGTCTCGCCTTCTTTATGTCCTCCTCTGTCTTGTTGCTGAGTTTGATCTCCAGCTGCTGCGTCTTCACCTCCAGATCCTTCTGCCGGTCTGCCAGGGCTTTACGAGCCTATGACACGCACACACACACACACACACACACAGATGAACTCTCCCTGTGTTTACTTAAAGAACTGATGCTTGTTCAGGTTTAGCATCAGGAAAAGCTCAGCTAACGTCTCTGCAGACCCCACACATGTTGGACACAAACTGCTTAGACTTTAATCTTCAAGCCGGCGCTACAGAGACGCTTTCTTCCCCCAGACTGTGTCTCAGATAAATACTTAACTAGGGCTGGAACAATTAATCAGATTAATCATGAATAATTGATTAGTGAAATAAATGTCAACTACTTCAGTAATCAATTAATCGTTACTTGGAGTATTGAGACAGTCAGAGCTCTAATTAAGCCAAAACTGTTAAAAAATATTAACATTTTTGCCTAACCTTCATTGTCTGTAAATATTTTCTAGTTTTAGCTTCACCTGGTTTAAACACTGTAGATACAAAAGTTTCTTAAGTGCCTTTTGCATCCAGTTATTAATAAGTTAATCTAGTTAATAATCACATCTCTACACTGTATTGCTGTCAGTTCAGTGTAAAGGTCTGATCTTCTTGAAGTTAGACGGATTTTTAAGCTGCAGATGATTCAGTTTTGACTAAAAGAATAAAGTTTCTCCATTTTAGGCAATAGAATGTTTTTATTTTTTTTAAAAAAAGGAACCAAATTATTTGTTCATTTGCATCTTTTGATGTATTTCTAATTTTGTACACTAGACTGACACCAGGCATATTTGCACTAATTCAACCTCAAATACAAAACAAATATACAAACATCATAATTCACCAGTTATTTCTGCAGATTTCCATAAACCTTCAGGAAACTCAGTGAACCTGCCAGACATGAAGGCTGAAGAAGCTCTGCTTGTTTTTCTCCTGCTGGTTGGAATAACAGGAGGCCATGCGGCTGCCGCCCACCACAACATGCCGTGAAAATACCAGGAGAAAAACAGAAGCAGCTTCCATTCATGAGCTGAATCAGCAGGTGGGAGGAAGACGCAGCGAGTTGACTCGGCCGCCTGCTTCTGTCGTCTCTCTGCCTGCTGGTTACCTTTTCCACGCCGGCGAAGCGGCTGGCCAGCTGCTTCCTCAGGTCGGCGATGTGGTGATCGTATTTCTTCAGATCCTTCTTGAAGTTGTCACCTCTGAACGTCAGCAACGGTTTCTCTACCTCCGTGTGCAGCTGCAGACACAAAGAATGTTGTATAATTAATATGAGCTTTCTGCCTTATTAAAAATGGAGTCTGATCCTGAATAAACCTCCAAATGCATATTAGAAATGACTCCTCAGATTGGCAAAGAATTCACAATAAAACTGATTTATTGTTGCACATTATTTAGTTTAATGTTGCATTCCAGTCTTTTAAAACCAGCTATAAACCTGATTGATGAGTAATTTAATTCTTGGTTCCTCTATAAATGGGTAAAATCATTTTGAAGCTTTAAACTTATGTCACTCTTTGCAAATTATGATTACTTTTGTTCTTTGCACCATATGCCCCAAAAATGCAGAAAAGTTGAGTTATAGTTCACTATTACATGTTTAATAGTTTGGAATCAGAATAAATGTATCTAAGGCCGTTTTCCTGACAGTCCGGTGGTCTCAGTTCAACCAGAACTCCACCATCTGCTCCTCCTCCAGCTGCTGTGGCTCTGAGTCAAACCAGCCTGTTCCCCTCCTGGCCTGTGGGGGCGCTGCACCAAGAACCACTGAGGGAAACGACACAAAAACCTCTGAAGACACTGAGAGCAACTTCCGTCTTCACCAGATGGAAACAAGATGGAGATTTTAGCGGTTGGAGGATTTCTCTTTAGTCTTTGAGTAAAGACCAGGAGCCAATTCTGCTGCTAGCGCTAGGCTAGTGTGTTTGTTTTGGTTGAATTTACCCAGAATGCCCTGCACTGTAGTGCACTTCCTGCTTTTGGAGCGGTCTCTGGTCCGCTTGCCGTTCACAGTATTCAAACCGAACCAGAGTTGACTTCAACTGAACCCAGAATGAGGTTTGGAGGACCAGAGTTAGCTTAGCATTCACACCTCACCTACCGAACCGGACTTTAAAGGAAAACGGACTGGAGTCGGATAAAAGCGGACTGACCAGGGCGGGTGGGAATGAACCCTAAATGTTTGAAGGTAAGTTTTTCATTTTACTGTTTCTTGTTAAAGGTGGAGGCGTCATGAACAAATGCATCGTTAGTTTCTAATCAGAAATCTATTTCTGAAGGCACGCCTATAATCCGTCCTGCACCATTGTTGTGCAGAAAGCTTATGATGTGCAGCAGCAGAGCTCTGAATGCAGCTCTTATTAAAACTGAGAGCAGCAGCTTGATAAGACTCTTCACTGGCCGCCGGACCAAGTGGAGCAGGTTGGGGTCAGCCTGCATCGCCCTGGGTCTGGGCCCGTCACAACACGCAGCTAATTAATTAGCCAGTGGGGGGTGGGGGGTCAGCCCCTCTGGTTTTGATTTCTGCATCACTGGGACTCAGACCCTGGAATGGGTTCCTTTCTTTAGCAGAAAATAAACCTGAGGATGTGGCTGGATGTACGACATTCTGTCAAACTGTATGTATGAATATGAAAAGCTTCACATGCGAGCAGATATCAGACCTCATGTCATGGAGGGTTTAGGAGTTTCCACAACGTTACGGCGTCAAAGTTTCCATCCAACATTTCCTGATGAGCGTAATGCAGTGACCTGAGTTTCTCTGCTGCATTCAAAAAATACTTTACTGATCCCAAAGGGAAATTACATAAGAGGGCAGCACAGTGCTGCACACTGACTGTCAGCTGGCTTAAAGGAAGGAAGCCACACTTATCCCTCCCTTATGAAACAGGTAAAACAGAAAAAGAAAGATATTCTGAGAATAATGCAGTTCAACACATCACTGTTACTATTTTTCCTTTGGTCTATGTATCAAATTGAATTGAACAGCAATAATATGGAATGGACAAAGTTATAGCAATAATAGCAATTAATATTGTTTGTTATTTTAGAAGCAGCATGAATTATTGCAGCTTCTGTCTTTAAATTCAAAGTAGTTGGATCATATATCATATTTCACTCATGATTATCATACCTCATTCAGACATAATCTGGTCTGTGTTGTTAAATTTAGTCTCTGTTTACGGTTGTTTATAATTTCTTTATTTAATCTGAAATCTGAGTGGATGAAGGAAATGACCTTGTTGGAGAACTTGAGGTGAACTTCAGCTTCATCATGGAGGCTCTTCTTCAGCTGAGTCCAGGCCTCTCCCAGAGTCCTGAGGAAACATCCGCATCGTGGATGGAGTATTCATGGAATATTACAATAAAACTCAACAACTTTACAGCTAAATACCAAACTAAAACACAACAACTTTCTCTGACTTCTCCGCGCCGCAGAGGATGGAGGGTGAATGAATTTTAGAACGGTAGGAAAAGATTCAAGCATTTAAAATGTGAACAGTTAAATTAACTTCCTGCCCTGCAGTTAAGACTCCATCATCGGATTAAAACTTGATTCTCTGCTGTAATCAAAACTTGGCCGGTTTTCAGTTAATTTGTCACATTTCATGTCATTTTGTGGTTCAATAAGCAACACTCTGCTCTGACATATTACAAAAATAATTTAAAAATAACGACACTAGGTGATCATCCATCAATCCATCCAGTTTTTGTATTTTTGTGTAAATGTAAATGCACCTGAATTTCCCAGCTGAGGAACTAGAAAGTTTATTTTATTGGGTTTTATGCAGTGATCGGCCAGACAACACAGAAACCTCGGCACATGCGCCGAGCAAACAATATGAAACCGCGTGTTGATGCGCGTATCACTTTAAGGAAAACCACGTGACAGATGCAGTTCCTGTGTTGTTTGGATGTGACCGCGCCTAATTGTATTGATGAGGGAGACACGTTTGTGGGTTTTGTTGGATGGAGATATCTGCCCATCACTATTTTTCTACCCTTAAACCCCATGGCCAGCGTAACATTAGCATGGCAGCGAGCAAGGTGTTAGCTTCGCTCTCTGCTGCGTTAGCTTCGCTCTCTGCTGCGTTAGCTTCGCTCTCTGCGTTAGCTTTGCTCTCTACTGCGTTAGCTTCGTTAGCTGCGTTAGCTTCGCTCTCTGCTGCGTTAGCTTCGCTCTCTGCGTTAGCTTTGCTCTCTACTGCGTTAGCTTCGTTAGCTGCGTTAGCTTCGCTCTCTGCTGCGTTAGCTTCGCTCTCTGCGTTAGCTTCGCTCTCTGCTGCGTTAGCTTCGCTCTCTGCTGCGTTAGCT